ATGTTGCTGCTGATCTGTTTCAATGTTGATGTGTTCGTGCGTGCACATCTGCTCACAGACTCATGTTCATGTTTGTGCTGATGTTCAATGTTTTATGTTATGAGTGCTTAGTGTATATTTAGTTGATGTTTTTCTTAGTTCATATCTTAGATGTTATTACTGTTTTTCTTAGACATTTTATTGTTGGATGTAAATGGGACCCTGTGTACATAATTTCGCTCCACCACATGTACCACATGAGGTGCGAATGACAATAAAGAAACTCTGACTCTGACTCTATAGGCTTAGACTGCTGGAGGACAAACTGACCACACTTTTCACCCTGCTACTGTCTTTACTTACTCTGCTCAACCTGTTTTGTAGTTGTAATTATTTTTTCTATCCTTAACATGTGTTTTTTGTCTCTCAGGTACACCTGGACCTACCATTCTGTGTTAGTTTGTCTCTCCTTCCTGTCCTCTCAAACCAGCCGGTCAAAGCAGATGGCCGCTTGTCCTGAGCCTGGTTCTGCTGGAGGTTTCTTCCTTTAAAAATTTAGTTTTTCCTTTCCACTGTTGCCACTGTGCTTGCTCAGGATGGGAGACTGCAACAAAGCCATGATTCAACTTGTCTGCTGGATTCCTTTAGAGAACTTTACTAATTAGCTTTTATGTGAATGTTCCTGTAAAGTGCCCTGAGACAACTTTGTTGTGATTTGGCGCTATACAAATAAACTGAATTGAACTCTCATTGACATAGTTGCATGACGAAAATCACGCCATTTTGTTCTCAGAGAAGCTTCGTCTGCCCCTTCTCGACAAGGCCCCCAAATTTTTTCACACAAGCATATGCACAAAGTATTGTGTGATTGGTCAGAAGTTTGTGGACGTGTCTGTCAATGTGGAAATTGGCTCATCCAGCTGCATGACTAATCAAACACCCTAAATAAGTCAAATAGCCAAAACACTCCTGGATGGAGATCACACAGATGTGTATGGAGGAGTCTGTCTGCTGGACTGTAGTGCTTATTAACAGATTTGTGGCCAAATGGTGGGCAGGGACACAGTGGAGAGTCTAGCGAGAAAAAGCCAAATGATGAGGTATGCTGCAGCAAGAGGCGTTTCCCAGGAGCTCTGTAGCTCACGGACTATGAAAGATGTGTATGAAAATGAACGTCCTGCAACCGCATGATCGCAAGTCAACGGTTTGGCTTTGGGGATCGGTTAGCTTGGCGCTACGTTAGTTCCGGCAGTTGTTGTTGGGTCAGAGAGGTACATTTGTATTGCACTTGGGTAACCCTAGGTTAAACACACTTCAGGTGCCGCTCTTGCAAAGTCTGATGAGGAGGGAGGAGAACTGAAAGAATCTGCCACTCAGTAGCTTCAACATTCCAAGCAATCCACAAGATGGCTGACTGAGAACATTTGTATACAGTAGTAAACTTTGTACAAAGTGAATTATACTTAATTACATTTTTCTTGAGATTATTTGCCTTCTTCATTGTAAAGTTGTGTACAACCAAAAACTTCTGTGGACAACCAGATTCTGTCAAGAGATTGTCCACTAGATAACTTGAAATATTTCCTTATGTCTACCCATTACATTTACGAAACACTTTAACACAATGATTGCGTGTGCAAGGAACATGATGTACGCAACTTTTTTGTTCATAAGCACCGCTCATACATGAGGCCCCAGATCTTTAACACCTCACCCAGGAGTAAAACATCTGAACCTTCAGGTCATAAATGGTAAATGATCAACGGTGACATCATACCACACCTTTGTTCGACTCCCCTTTATTTGCAGTTGATAATAAATGCAAGGAGTCAGGTCTTCCTACTGATAAGGTTTAAGCAATGATCAATTTAGGTTAGTAAACACACCATATAAAACATTTACTCTATTTACATTGCCCTATGACACAATGCACTTATCCACATTACATACGCTCCAGGTCAAGAGCAAAAAAATCTAAAAAAACAAATAAGTTTGCTTGATTCCCAGATTGAAATCCTCATTTCTTTCTTTTGAACACATGTTCAAAAAGAAGGCAGGATTGTAAAACATCTGATGGTGCATTAATAGGTATTAAATGTTTGCACCAAACAGAAGGGAGTCATTTTCACATCAGGATGAAAAGATCAGACGTTCAAAACACAAGCCTTCTGTCTGCTATGATAATTTAGGACTGACCCCAAACCACTGAAGTTTCATGTCTTGGAAAGAGCTCCACATAGAAAGCAATGCTGGTGTCAGGAATATAAAGCAAAGCAGTAGTCCAGTGGGAGGTTAAGTCTTCTGTTTGTTTATTTATTTACATGATGAGTCATGTGTGTGACTAAGCTGCAACAGAAAACTTGGATTCATTGATGACGTGTGCACTCTCCTGCCTGCATCCTCACTAACCCAGACACACCTCAACTTAACTAGGCGGCCAAATCCGTCTTTCACACAGACTAATGCTTGTTAATGTAGCAAGCAGGCTGCAGAAATGCCTCTCTGCTCCTGGCCCACTTTAGTATGAGTGACGCAAATAGGAGTGCAACACATATGGTAGGTTCACAACCTGCAGGTCACTGCTGCTAGTGCTAACCACAATCGCTCCATTACTGATTAAATATGGTGTGATGGAGTAAAAACTAATGGGTATAAACCATTTTAGGACATTATGGCAACTTTACAAACTCCACAGTTTGTCTCATTCTGTGCTGTGATGATTGTTTACAAAAACCTGCAGAGTACAAAATATCAAACATGTATTATCCTCACCATATAAATATGCCATTAATATATCAACATCTCCAAAAACAGACACAAACTGCATGACACTGACATATTTGGCAAACAGAGGAATGTTTAAAATACTTTAGATTTAACAAATCTCAAGTGTTTGAACTGAAGTCTTATGAGAAAAAAGATCATCTTGCGTTGAGAAAAAGTTAATCATGTCAGTCAAACCTGGAAAGTAATATTTTATTCAATACAATATTGCAAGATGTCACACACAGCATGTGCTACGAATGACTCTCAGCTACTACCACATCAGATTTTAGCTTTATATCTGTGAAAGTGATTGAGCTAGTCAAGTTTGTGTTGGCCAGTTAGCTGTGTCTGTCATCTTGAACTTGGGTAAAATGACCAGGTAATGTCCAAGTTTTAGGAAAGATAAAGAGCAATGGCCAGATACCATGTTGAGTATGTGTTGCAAATGATTCTCAGCTATATTTATTGTGAGTCAATATTAAAAAATATTAAATATAGCCATTTTGCACTTCTTAAAAGTCAGCTGGCTGATGCAGCCATTTTAAAATGGATTGATGTCAAAAGTTAAATAGTTATTCTCCGATCATTTCCAAAGTTTTATTAAAATCCATCCAGTGATATGAGGTATTTTGGTAACAGACAAATGTGTAGACATGGGCAAAAACACTATCACCCATCTATAGCCTTTTGGCAGCGGGCAATAATACAATTCCAACTGAGTATTTTCCAAATTTTGTGCAGCTATTTCTTCAAGCTAGAAAATCTTTGTGTAATATCAAAGGAATAAAAACCATTCCAAGTCCCTAGTGTAGACCACGTTACTTGATCCATCCATCCATTTTCTTTACCCGCTTATTCCATTTTGGGTCACGGGGGTCGCTGGTGCCCATGTCCAGCAATCACTGTGCGAGGGGCGGGGTACACCCTGGACGGGTTGCAAGTCCATCACAGGGACACATAGAGACAAACGAGACAAACAACCATTCACTCTCTCATTCACACCTAGGGACAATTTAGAGTTACCAATCAGCCTAACATGCATGTTTTTGGTCTGTGGGAGGAAACCGGAGCACCCGGAGAAAACCCACGCATGCACGGAGAGAACATGCAAACTCCACCCAGAAAGGCCCCTGGACCGGGGTTTGAACCAAGGACCTGCTCGCTGAGAGGCAGCAGCTCTACCAGATGTGCCACCGTGCCACGTTACTTGATATTGCAGTGTTTCACATAAAAACCAACACATATGGTAGGTTCACAATCTGCTGCTAATCCACAATGACGTCAGTACTTTTCATCTATAGTAGGATGGAGAAAATTAAGCATGCACGCCTCACTCTGCAGAACATAAAGGTTTATGGCAACTTCTAAAAAAATGTTTTATCACATCTTGTCTCATTTTATGCTGCCACTACTGTTAAATTTCATACCACAATGTTTCATTTTCAGGTGTAAGGTTTTATTTTCTTAAATATATTCATTAAAAACAGGAGCAAACAAAAACATAAACGCACTTTTGTAATAACTGGTAAGTGAAGTTTTAAAATCTCGTGGACCACAGAATTTGTTACACAAACTCAACTCTCTCATAGTTAGCTCAGTGTGACCTAAAGTGGATTACTTTCCCAAAACAAACGAGAAGGTGTCAGAAAGTACACATCCTTCAGTCCAGACCCTTCTGTCCACCATGGCAGTTAACTTACAGCACAAATATCTACAGCTTCACTTATTGTTTTTATGTTCCGCCTGCTCATTTGACAGGAACTAGCTAAAAACAGTGAGCTAGCACAAACCTGACAGTGAGCACCGCCCATCATAACACTTGTCCATGCCTTCAGACTTAGTGCAATGCTGCCAAAATGTCCCTTAAATGCAATAAAATTAATCACAGACCCAAAATAAATCTTATTTTCTACACTTACCTGCTCGGAATCTAACGTGGCCTATAACCTTTTAATCCGTCCACTAAACAACGCTACTGCTAGCTAGTTAGCTTCACAAAGTCCACAGAAGGCCTACAGCTCACAAACATAAAACCAATTCAGTATCTTTAAGGTAAGCAAAGCGTGTGGAAAATTATAATATAACGCAGACTACGTAAGGTTAGTTAGCTAATTTAGCCTAGCGCTAACCAGGCCTGAAACCGAGCCCTTAGCAGCAGGCCAGCTTCACCCAAACCCCTTCAGCTCGATGAGAGCTCCACAGCAAGACATTCTCCATGTTATATAAATTCACCGCACTCAGATACAGAATCATACCTTGTGATTTGCGTTTCTATTGATTTCCCCCGAATTATCGAGGCAGCTCAGATGTTCCTTGGAACAAGCGCTGCTTTGTTTTACTAGCTGGTCACCTCCCCTTGTTTCTACTGTTGATAAATGTGCGCTCCCTGCTAGTTCGTTCTGAGCCCAGTGTCGTAGACCCCTCAGTAAGGAGAGCAGCCATTGGCTGTTGCTTGATGATGTCATCATCTAATTTGCATAATACTTCTAGGCAGTGGAAAAGATTTATAAAGGTGTTGTCAAAGAAACACTCTAAACAGGATTAAAACTACTAATGATTTTTCCTCAAATATCGTATGACTATTGTTTAGCCTAGACCTACATTACATAAATTAGTTTTATTTTTGTGTTTAATACTGTACTGTATCACCACGTTCCCTGAGGTCAGCGGACCAGTTGCTCCTCACAGTTCCAGGAACTCGTCTTAAGCGCAGAGATGACAGGGTCTTCTCTGTAGCAGGACCAAGACTTTGGAACGAGTTACCTCTGCTTGTCAGACAGGCCCCCTCCCTCTCGGTTTTCAATTCCCGTTTAAAAACTCACTACTATTCAGTAGCTTTCAACACAAGATGATCTGTGTTTTGATCCTGTACGCTCCACACTGGTTTGTCGTCATTATCTGCATCGTTTTTATGTCTATATTCTGATTTACCTCATTTTGTATTTTGCTTTGTGTGTTACCTGTTGTTCTGTCTGTACAGCACTTTGGTTGGCCTTGTTGCTGTTTTAGGTGCTCTATAAATAAAATGGTATGGTATATCACATTTATTCTAAATAATGTGATGTTGAATGGATTTGCTGGCTCTACATTCAACCCTCCTCTTTTATCCAGTCTTAGGACCAGTGTTTGTTCAGGGTTCGAAATGACTACATGATCTGCAATTAATAGAATATAATTCTTTAGAGGGACATAAAGTAATAATTAGGCACTAATTATGTTTTAATTTAAGGTAATGAGCCATGATAAATTATAGGCAGGGAAAATTTAACACAGGGCACTGAACAAAAACATTCATATATATAAAATAATAAGTTAACATTTTTTATCTGAGGAGCAGACTGCTTTGAATTTAACTCCATCACAGACTCTCATCTTGAGCAAGCACGAAGGCGACAGTGGAAAGGAAAAACTCCCTCATGAAGAAGAAACCTTTAGCAGAACCAGACTCAGGACAAGCAACCATCTGCTTCGACCGGCTGGGTTTGAGACGCACAGGAAGGAGGAATAGATATACAATGGCAGGTCAAGAACCACATGTTAAGATAGAAATAGTATCAAATGAAAACTGGAAATTGTAACAATTCATTTAAGGAAATGAGGTCAAATTGTCCTCCAGTAGTCTAAGCCTATAACAGCATGACAAGTCAACCCTAACTATAGGATTTATCAAACAGGAAAGTCTTAAGCCCAATCTGAACACTGGACAATGTGTCAGCCTCACAGACAGAAAATGGAAGTTGGTTCCACAAGAGAGGAGCCCAATAAGGAAAATATGGAACAATAAGATTTCGAATATAAGATGGAGCTAGGTTGTTGAGAGCTTTGTAGGTTAGAAGTAAGAGTTTGGATTAAATTCTGGATTTGACAGGGAGTCAATGGAGAGAAACTAAAACTGGAGAAATATGATCTCTCCCACTAACTCCAGTTAAGACTCTGACAGCAGCATTTTGGATCAACTGAAGATGTTTTAAAGAAGTATTTGGACACCCAGATAATAAACCATTGCAATAGTCCAGTCTAGACGTGACAAATGCATGGAATAGTTTTTCTGCATAATTTTTAGATGTTTCTAATTTTAGTGATATTACACAGGTGGAAGAAGGCGGTTCTAGTAACGTTTTTAATGTGGGGGATAAAAGACATGTCCTGATCAAAAATAACACCAAAATGTTTGACATTAGAGCTGGAGGTCAGATTAATGCCATCCAAGGAGGGTGAAAGACTAAAAAAAATGTATGTTAGGTTTTAATGGCTTTAAGACTTGCTTGTAGTCTAGGTGCCTTCCATGCAATGCATAGGAGAGCAGTGAATTGCCTTGCGAAGAAAGGCAATTCACTGTTATGCATTGCAATGGCAGTCCCCAATAAATAAATAAACACTTATTAGTTTAATTTAGGTGTTTGCATGTTCTCTCCGTGCATGCGTGGGTTTTCTCCGGGTGCTCCGATTTCCTCCCACAGACCAAAAACATGCATGTTAGGCTGATTGGTAACTCTAAAATTGCCCCTAGGTGTGAGTGAGAGAGTGAATGGTTGTTTGTCTTGTTTGTCTCTATGTGTCCCTGTGATGGGCTTGTGACCCGTCCAGGGTGTACCCCGCCCCTCGCACAGTGATTGCTGGACATGGGCACTGGCGACCCCCGTGACCCAAAATGGAATAAGCGGGTAAAGATAATGGATGGATAGTTTAATTTATTTTCTGTCTTTCGAAACTGGGCTGATCACGCACCTCTTCCTCTTCCTTTGGCCTTCCTGTCTGATGTTCTCTTGTAGCTGGGTGGTGGTTGTGTTTTTTTTTTTTAACCCACACCTTCCCATTGTCTCAATAACATGCTTCTGGAGTTTATTTGTGCCCTCCATGCACCTCTTCATATGTGGTATAACAAGCTCTTTGCCCAGTTCCTTGATAAATAGCCGGTGTGCATTACTCGTACCACCCAGATGAGGGTGTTGTGCACTGAAGTTGGTGTAGGCATTGAGTGTGGCAATATCCATTGTGCCAGAGAACCATGGGCCACCTCCTTGTGCTCCGCAGATGTGTAGTTGTTAACCATTTGATCCATTGTGTCCACTCCTTTCATTTTATTGTAGTACTGGATCACTTCTGGTTTCTTATTCTGACTGCTGTTATCCACTGCTTTGTCATCATGCATGGTGCTCAGCAGGACCACAGCCTTTCTCTTCTTCTGCACATAGCTCACCATGGTCATGTTGCCATGGAATCCAAGTTCTGAGCTATGAAGCTCCTGTGATTTGGATGGCTTCATGATGGTGGTACGTCAGACTTGTTCTGGCGAAGAGTCCCAACAATGGTCAGGTTTTTCTTGAGGAGCTTCTTAGCCAAAGGGACACTGGTGAAAAAGTTGTTCTCACCAAATGCTGTAGTTTACTACGACACGCATGCAAAAATGCATGCGTGTCGTTTCTGACCCATGTGTGTAAACTCGATTTAGAATTACAAAAGCAGTGCTTGTTCATAACTTAGGAAAGAAAAAATAAAAATGTTGATTTGTGCTAAACAGAAACAAGATATTTACTGCATATTTGGAAAAGTAAATGATAAAATTAATTTATTTCAAAAATATATCATAGAAACACTCAACCCTCAATGATAACATAGAAAATGAATGCAGGTTGTTGGTGACCCATTTTGTGCATTAGAAGGGTATTGATACAAAAAAGGTTTTTATTCAAGAAGTATTAAAGGAAAAAATAAAATAAAGATGTATGATGATCAAAAACAAGTTATTTGAGGAATACCTTGAATACTGAATAATGAAATTAATTTATTGCAAAGATATAGAAAATAAAAATTCAGCCGGGTCACTTTTGACCCATGTTTTGCATCAAAGGCTTAAAATCAGGTCTCTCTTGTAAATGAGTCCCTGAGGCTCAGTGAGATTAATCTGTCTAAATAAAGGTTGAATGATTGAAAAGTATGCTTTTCTACATCTCAGAGCAAAACATTGTGCGTGTCCTCAACATATGAATTAATCCATTTTAAGCATTTTTTGTTTTTATTTCACAGGGAGACCTGCTAGACTCTTCCATCCCCCCGAATCCTGTGTGGCTCAGTCCTGTGTTGCTGGAGATGGACTGGATCTTTCCAGCGTCTGGCTCCACCACCTACACGTTCTCCAAAGGGGAAGAAGGTATTTTATTTTCTTGGAATAATCATTTCTATGTGCCACAGTTGGTTTTAACAATAATTTAATTTTTTTTACTTTATTTTATTAGAAAGCCAGTCAGAGACGTTGTCCAATTCCCGATCCCTCCAAGCAGAGACCGGAGGAGCATCGCTCTCAATGCTCTAAAAGAGCACAGCCTGTCATGATCTCCGCTCTCTGCCACACTCACACTCATGCTCATCACCTGTGTCACTCCCAGTCTCCCTCCTGCTGCTCCTGTGTACTGCACTTCTTAAGTGCTCCCCAGTCTCTGCCTTCCTTCCTTGTCTGTTCGCCTCATACCTGCAGTATCCAGCATTCTTGTTTCTGCTCTCGTTCCTGCAGGCTCGGTTCGGGTCACACTTGATTATGTTAAATAAACTATCCATGCTGCTCGTGCGGCTCACTCAGGTATAGGACAGACCCGCCGCCCCCCTCCTTTCTCTTTCTGAGGCCGTCACAGCTGAGTAGAAACGTGGGCTGTTGTCTCTGTTCTGCTGTGACAGCCTCAGAAATAGAGCTGCGATTTTTTTCCCCAAGTGAACAAAGTCCAGTCCCCTGGAAGGACGTCCATCTCCAGCTGGGTGAGCTGTCAGACAAACTCTTCACCCACTTTTCTGTCTCCCTGGTGTTGACGAGTTATCAGTGAATTAAACTTCTTTTGTTGTCAGGTCTCGAACTGGACATGCTAAGCATGCCTGATCTGTGAAGTCCATCATTTTCTGAAATGTGTGATCCTTCTAGACAATTTATTAGTTTTTTTCCGGTGTGTTCTACTTTGGCCTCTAAAGCCTCAATAGTAAAATTTGTCCATCTCACCCGTACATTCAGCAGCTGGGTCTGTGCCTTCTGTAGGATCTGGTTTGCCCAGTGTCCGCTGACAGATTTGAGTTCCAGGCTCTTAGGAAAGGTGCCACTCTGTCTGTATGGGAGGTTGTATCTCAGGTGGTTCCTGTAGTCCACGCTCTTCCTCGCCGTTTGCTCAAACTCTCAAACAAGTTTGAGGCAATCCTGGCCAAAGTGGTTCAAAATATCCTGATGCATGCTCAATAATCCAGGTAGAAAAATCTAACAAGGTTAAGTCAGATAAGAAAAATAAAGCTTTATTTTTTATTGCATTTTTTATTACAATGAATTTTGACAAAATATGACACAAACCTCGTCACAAAGCAACATCGTGAAGCCTTAATCAGCTACCTGATCAATGTAAGTAGACTCTAGATTACAAAGTTTAATGTTCTTTAATGATCAGCAGTTCAGTGCTAAAAGTTTTCTGATGCGTGTTTCAGTCTTCTCTCAGATAAGCTTCAGGCATCTCCTCCTCATTATTATTCTCTAAGGAGGCAGCGTATTGACTTGTTCTTTCCACCTCCATGACTTTCGTCTCAGTCAGTTTCTTCTCTGCATCCTGGGAGATTTTCTGGGCCTCCTCCACCTGCGACTGGGCCAGCTGAATGTATGTCCTTACCGTGACGGACGCCTGCTCAACTCCTGCAAACACACAGACACAACACTCACTTCAAAGCCCCTTCAGTTGAGACGTTAGGTGGGGTCATTAGGCAGAGAATCTTGTCCATCATCTCCTGTCTCCGTACCCCAAAGACCCATGGAATGGCTGCAAACGATCCGTCCACTGCCCAAAGTGAAACTGAGTGATGCTTTAACTTTCCACTCACAAACTGTCCCTTCCTCACCTGAAACATACGCCGCTTCAGCCGCCGTCTCACACAGCTTCACTGCAGCGAACCAGGTCGACTCGAAGCGCCTGTACTCATCCTGTCTGTCGTTAACCTGTGGAGAGTACAAATGCAAACAGATCTACAACCGCCTGTCTTTGTAGGAATAAAGAAGACAAAGTTATGCAAAGAGTTAAACTAAGAGGAACACTGACTGACCTCTGTGCGCTGACCAATGATCACCTGCCAGATCGCATCCTCTTGTGCTGGACTCAGTTTTCCCAGAGAGTCTAAATATCGTTTTTGTAAAGAAATGAGTGTGTGCACAGCCTGTAAAAAACCAGAGAGCAAGCACTTTTACATTTATATAAATAAAGAAAACATAATGGTAACGAACAACCAGAGAGGAGGTTTAAACACTTTTATGAAACATGTTTATTAAACTTGATAGTGTTCAATATTTAAAAAAAAACAAAACAGAATTTTCTTGTTACCATTCAAGGCATTACTGGAGGAAACAACAGAACTAACTATTGAAAATGCAGGTTTGCAGCCATTTTCTTCTCCTCTACAGGCAGAATGACACTGTGTTGGTACACGGAGAGCTTCGTGTCACTCACTCAAGATTTTTGTTTTCATTCAACCTTTATTTATTCAGGTTAATCCCACTGAGCCCTGGGGACTCATTTACAAGAGATACCCGATTTCTTAACAAAGAGTGATGACAACAGTGGATAACAACAACAACAATAGACAGTCATGAAAAAGGTATACAAATGTATTTTTTTTTTTCTTCTTCACAAATTAAAATGGCAACAAAAAGGACAGTCAAAAGGAAAAAGTAGCTGCTCCCTTCTTCAGGGGTCGCCGCAGTGAACTAACTCGCACGAAGACTTGACAATTATTTTTACGCCTTTGTGACGCAACCACAGACCACCGAGCTGCCACAGCCCTCTGCGTGGAGCAGAGAGCTGCTATCTAGGGCGCCCGGGGGAACAGATGGTGGGGGTTAAGGGCCTTGCTCAAGGGCTCAGAGTGGGGCAAATGAGTTTGGAGGCAGGTGTGGGTGCTTCACCTTTCCCACCCACATTTTGATGTCAGTGGGAGTCGAAACAGCAACCTTCTTATCACAGGCTTGCCTTCTCTAACCTCTGCACCACCAGTCCCCCATGCTATAAATGTAACCTAAATTACTTAAAATGTATAGAAAAATACATATAGAGTAAATATGTAATCATGAAAAATGCAATTAAAGCTATCAAAAATCACAATGCATGTGTTTCATGATCATTAATTTATTAAAAATGGAATCCAATAGTTATCAGCAATTTTCTTAAGGTGACTGAACTTCTTTTCAGGTTGTTTTAGGATGTTAGCTATTCGTTTGAGCAGCCTTCTTAATTCAAAATCCAGAATATCTTGAATAATCTACACTCTAAACTCGTTGGTAAACTGGATATCATCTTCCTGCAGACGGATATATTTTCATTTACAAATCCCCGCTAGGTCTGCTGTCTTATCTTTATTCTAAGATGTAACAAAGACTGTGCTGCTACTGTACTGCTCCCTCTTCCCAGAATGCACTGCAGCAAGCACTGAAGCTTTCCAGTTTGATCCCACTGGGACATTTTAAACATATTTTAGAAAAAAAAAATTCACACCTCTTCTTGGTGATTAGATTTTGTGTGAACTTTGTTCCCTTCTAAATGTCAAGAAGTTTGCTTCTTGTGAGAGAGAGTAAATGTAAACCTTACCTGATTATCAAGTCATACCTTTGAGTAATCTGTGATGGCGTCTATGAGAGCTAATGTGGTCTGAGAGAGAAAAGTGCTGGAACTGTCTGTGACCAGAGAGGCTGCTCGTCTGACCAGAGAGTCATGGGAGAGATCGTCAGCCTGCAGAACAACAGAAGACTCAGGCACATTCACTGCTCCTTTAATCAAACTTTAAATGATCTAATGGTCGACTCACCTGCTTGAAAGGTACAGCGCACAGCCCACCGACAGCTAAGGACGCCACACCTGAGTACAGAAGTTTGCTCGATTTAGGAACTGCAGGTTTTATGCTGAACAGCAAACGAGCGGAACTCCTGTAAACAAATCAGGTTTAATAAATCAGAACAATTAAAAAAAAAAACAGAAGCTAGTTTTAAAACGAATTTTACTTCCTCTGTTGACTGCTAAATTGGGCACAAAAAACAAAGTTGTTCACAAACTTCCGCACGTCGTATATCATTTATTCCCCTCATTACGTGAAAGCTTTCCATTATTTAATAAACAAGACATTAACATGATGCGCTAATTATTCTCCCTTGGGAGAAATTTGCTTTGGATCATAACAATAGCAAAAACAAAAAGAATTAAAACCTGAAACTGAGATGCGCCACTCTCCTCCAAAGCGCAGCCATGATGGTCCGCCACAAAAATAAGGTCCGTCACAAACAAAGGTTCCGCAACTTCTTCATTCCGTGTGGAAAACATTATGGTGCATTACCACCACCTACTGTCAAATTAACAGTTTATGTCTCTCCATATCACTGTTTTTCAAAAGCACTTAAACTTAATCTTGTTAGCAGTAAGATAAAGAAGTCTCAGCGTTTTTTTTTTCATCTTGTCATGTTTTTCAAGCTTAGACATGCATCACCTGGATTTCAAATTAATTAATTCCTCTAGACTTCAAAGGTGATTTGATGCTTTAAGTTTTAATGAGCTTTGTTATTTCTTAACCTTTCATCACTCTACATATTGTGTGACATACCATTTTTTATGTATATTTTTGTAATCAAATTACCTTCTTTTAATCGTCTGTAATGTCCTGAATCACAGAGTGAGGACTGCGTCTCAGCAGGATGCAAACAGTACAGCTTCTTCTGACTCCTTCTGGATCAAAAAAACAAAGGGAACATTCTTCTTCCATTAATGAATGTGATTTTTGGTATAGAATTTAAGTAGCAGTGAATTATTTGAACTTTTGACCTACGATGTAGTGGAGAAGAAGTTTGACTCTTTTTAAGCCAAGATCTGAACAGTCTTGGTACTGTCGACCTTCACTGCAGCCCCTAATTTCTTTCCATGTGAGTTGTATTCATCTGTTAAATCTCATTGAATGATTGAACAGATAGAACTTTCTGAGTTGCTGGTATCACAGAAAATCAGTAATGTTGCAAACATTCAGCAATAGTCTCCAAAAACCCTGCATCACAGTTCTTTTAATTTCAACGTCCATTTAAGACAGCACGTAATCTGAACCTAATTGCAAATACTTACATGTCCAAACATTATGCAAATAGATAAGAGAAAACATCCCTTCTTTTGTTTTCACAATACTAAATGGCTCTCATGCTGCTGAAAATTCCCAGTGGATTTATTACTCATCAACTTTATGATGAATGGTAAATCATCGCATCACAATTTGGGACCTAGTACTGAGCCCTGCGTAGTCTCAAAAGGCTCAGTACTGGGTCCCAAATTAATTGGTATGTATATTAATGACATATGTAGAGTGACAAGTATATTTAATTTTGTTGTATTTGCAGATGACACAACTATGTTTTTTTCTGCGGAGGATCTTAAGGCGCAGCACGGTGGCGCAACTGGTAGAGCTGCTGGCTCTCAGCGAGCAGGTCCTTGGTTCAAATCCCGGTCCAGGGGCCTTTCTGGGTGGAGTTTGCATGTTCTCTCCGTGCATGCGTGGGTTTTCTCCGGGTACTCCGGTTTCCTCTCACAGACCAAAACATGCATGTTAGGCTGATTGGTAACTCTAAATTGTCCCTAGGTGTGAGTGAGAGAGTGAATGGTTGTTTGTCTCGTTTGTCTCTATGTGTCCCTGTGATGGACTTACGACCCGTCCAGGGTGTACCCCGCCCCTCGCACAGTGATTGCTGGACATGGGCACCAGCGACCCCCGTGACCCAAAATGGAATAAACGGGTAAAGATAATGGATGGATGGATGGATCTTAAGGCAGCTATTGGAGATTGTCGGAAAATGAATCAATAAACTTAAATGTTGGTTTGATAGAAACAAATTATCTTTAAATTGATCTAAAACCAAATTTATGTTGTTTGGAAATTTAAAAATGGACACAAATATTAAACTGGAGCTAAATACTGTATTAACTGATAGAGTGTTTGAAAATAAGTTTCTGGGTGTAATTTTGGACCACAAGTTTTGCTGAAGACTCCATATTAAACACTTGTGTAATAAGATGGCCGACACCATAGGGATATATTGGGAAAAACAAGACATACCTTGAACATTAGATCTTTGCACACTCTTTATTACACCCTGTTACTGCCATATTTAGACTATTGTGTTGAAGTTTGGGGTAATACATGCAGAAGTTCTCTACAAAAAATATGCATAATGCAGAAACGAGCACTAAGGATGGTACACAAAGTTTGGTATCATGAACACACCAGTCAACTTGTTTTTAAATCGCAGCTTATGAAATTTATGAATTTGGTACAATTTAAAACTGCACAGGTGATGTTCAAAACTAGAAATAAAGAATATTCAAAACTTATTTAAGAATAGAGAAAGAAGGTACGAACTGAGAGGAAAATGTAATTTAAAGCATCGCTGTGTTTGCAGCACTCTTAAAAGCACATCAGTGAATATGTCTTAGATGAAGAGATTAAGCAAAGTAAAAATATTGCACAATTCAAGAGAAAATACAAGGAATACAAAATTAATGTGTGTAAAAATGAATCAGATAAAAATATGTTAATCCAGCTGTTAATTTGTTAATTGGTGTGTTTGCATATTAAGCTTTGATCTGTAGGTGATATAGAGTAAAT